CGTTGTGGCAGTTTCCTTTCTTGTGAATGTAAGTAAGGAAGGAATCAGGGAGAGAGGATTGATTAGCAGTAAACACGTTTAGCGCTAAACATGTTTAGTTGCTCACCATTAGGACAATAAGGACTGTCGGATTAATGCTAATGGATGGCCGAGATCTGTTGGATCTGCCTCACTGGGTCTTTTTATATTGGTATATATATAGATATAGATATAGATGCAGGGGTAAACTCGTGTTGAGCACTGCCATGTTTTTGGCACGTTCTTGTTGAATTTCTTCCCTTCTTTGTTTGTTCAATTTGTGTGATACCGATTAATATTTTGGAGCCTTTCTTGCAAATTGTGCATCTGCACAAAATAATTCTTTTTTGCTGTAAATGATCATGTTTCACTCCATTTGTTTTTGAATATATGACTAGTATTAATCTGACTGCTACTTAGCAAGCTTACTGACATTTGTTTTTGTGATTTCTCAGTACACTTTTATTTATGGAATGTTCATTTTTCAGGAAGAATTTACGATGTTACTTGCTAGCATGAACATGTAGAGATCAATTGCTAATCGTGAAGATTTTTTTTTCTATGATCTCATATACATAAATTTCTCAAAGAATGTAAATATGGGACTGTAGCGACTTTCATTTGTTTGTGGAAGCAGTGACATATGGCATTTTCGTAGAGTACATAATCTCTTTCTTAAAATGGTTTTGTGCACAAAGTATAGCTTTACTATTTCCAAAATTGTTTTGTATGCACATATTTTTACTGTACACACATAACTGAGCATGCAGTATTCCCGTCAGTCAAGCAAAGCATGTGAGTAATACCAAGAGGACTAAACTATAAAATATTAGGGACTCTAGTGCAAGATGCACCATCTAACCAAGCCGTACTTGATCTGTACCATGAGATCTTCATTCGATGGCTGATATTGATGGATCGCATGATCTCACCTGATATGCTGATCTGATACTAGTCATGCCCCACCTAACATGCTAGTTGTTATTTTCAAGATTTTTTCTAAAAATAAGTGGCAGTCGTACGATTTGTTGGGCTGATCAGACTACAACTTTGAACTCTTATGACAAACTAGACATTTAGTAAAAAAATAAATCGAAAAGGAGGATTACCCCCGGCCTCTGCATCAAACGATGCACATATCCATCATTATTAATTATTCATCAGAGTCCGACAAACTAAATACATGGATCAACCCAAAGCTACTTTTCTAGCGACCTCTACGTTGCACCTACAAGTCTCATGGAGTGCCCTGGTGCATACACGCACACCATCTAATCCAGTGGCCACCCAAGGCTGCCTGATTGAGCCTAGAGCACCAACCGGTGTAGCGGACCCTCAGCACACACCACATGCGCACACCGAAGAATCCGCCGCCACCATCTTCTGTCGTCCCATCTTTAGAAGGGATCAATGCATATGCCTTGCCAGGCCCAACTACCGTCGACGCCACCACGATGCCAGACATCGCCACCATCCTGCGTGCTTCCATCAACATGTGCCCATCGCCGAGACCCCGCTGCTCCATGCCACCGTGCCGCTCCACCTTCACGAACACCACCTGCTATCACCGGTCCCGTCCCCTCCGCCTGCAAGTCCTTTAGCCGAGCACCCGAATGCCCCAGGCGGTGCTTCCAAGTAGGAGACGACACACGTTGTGCCGCCGACGCCCAATCCAAGGGGATTTCGGGTCTTTACTCGGGCATGGGATCGGGGTTGAAGGGGAGGACGTTGACGGCACCTGCAAGAATGAAAGCGGCAATCGTGGTCGTCGGGAAGAGCGGGTCATCTAGACTTTCATCCGCTCCAAAGCCACCTCTACCAACTCCCACCAAACTCACCAGGGCCGACGGCCGAGGCTGCAAGCCACCAGGTGCAATGGGATAGAAGATGCAGCGAGGAGATCCACCGGCAACTCACTGCCCATGCGGTCAAGACGTCGTCCATCTACCACCCACGAGCACCGCCCGCCGAGGACGCCGCCACCATGCCTACTTGGGCCGCCGCGCCAGGTCCAGATTCCTCCGCGAGGACCGGCTCGATGTGATCCGCAGCCGCGTGGTCCACACCATCACCTAAGCCTGCCGCCGCCCGAACCCGTCGCCGCCGGGAGCTGCCACGCCAACGGGAGACCAGGACCCATGGATCTGGGCGTCCGCGCATGCCGCCGCAAGCCCTCCGCCATCGGGAGTCACCTTGCCATTGGGGGGAGGGTGCACACCCCACGGATCTAGGCGCCCGTGCCCACCACGGATCTGGGAGAGTGAGGAGATACCCTCCACCGCCGCCATCACATGCACAGGCAACGGCGAAGGGGGAGGCGGGTCGCAGGGGGCGGTCTCAGCGGCGGTAGTTGAAGCCTCCTGTGTCGCCCGAGAGGTGGGCGACACTTTCACCGGACATTAGATAGAGCAATTTGAATAATTAGTTGTGACCAAGTCTTTCTCTTTCAGCCATTGGTTAAGACATGGAGATGGAAAAGAAGATTGCTGAGAGTACCTCGAGGGCCCCGAGGCCCTTTGCTTCTGCCCTCCGAATCATCGCCCAGCTGGAGGAGAAGGTGGATGTGCTCAATGCCCCTATTGTCGCGAACCGAGGGTAGTTTAGATTTTTTATGGTGGAACCAACACCAGGGTTTAAGTCAGTTTAAAAAAACACCGGGGTTCAAGTCCTACACTTGACACTTGTGGTTGCATTTTTTTGGATTTATTTCAGGCCTTTCGGCGATGTGTGTTCAGTGAGAGGAGACGTTCTCGTCGACTACAAAGTCGTTTATGACGAATTCGTCAATCTCAAAATGGTGTGCCGGCTCAGTATCTCGGAGGTGCTCATAGCATAGTGTGTGTGTGCGTGCGTTGACATGGTTGAGTATATGTGTGTATGTGAGCGCTTACAATTGTACTATATTAAAAACAAAAAATTTAATACAATCAATAAGTTCTCATGCTGGACTATAATAAAGCGGTCCAGTGTATTCTGTGTCAGTTTTGTAGTTACTCCGTAGGTGCAACAACTTTGGCTCACATCATATTACTGTTTATTAATATTTTATTACTCTTTAGCAAAGCATCGGAAAGCGATAGCCCAACAGCAAGACAACAATTATGGACCGCTGGACCAGCACCATCGATCTGTAGCTGGAACCCCAACTCTAGCATTAGTACCACCATGTTTCTCCAGCTCTAGCATTAGCACCACCAATTCCTCCATCACAGCAAGAAAGCACATCCTTCCTCATCCAAGCCATGGATGTCTCGTCGGGGGCCATGATCCCCTTGATCAAGAAGCTCGGGAGCCTACTCGTGGATGAGTACAACCTGGAGAAACGCGTGAAGAAAGGCGTCAAGTCTCTGATCACAGAGCTAAAGATGATGCACGCTGTTCTACGAAAGATCGGCGCCAAGCCACCGGAGCAGTTCGACGAGGAGGTCCTCATCTGGGCGGGCAAAGTGAGGGAGCTCTCCTACCATATGGAGGACGCCGTCGACGCCTTCATCGTGCGCGTGGAGGACGTGGGCCATGACCATGGCTCCACCAACATGAAAAACAAAGTCAAGAAGTTCCTCAAAAGGGTCACCAAACTGTTTACCAAGGGTAAGGCTCTTCATCAGATCTCCGATGACATTGAAGAAGCTCAGCGGCTCGCCAAGGAGTTAGGCGACCTGTGCCAGAGGTATATGATTGAGGCGCAGGCCAACAGTAGTGGCGATGCCATTGATCCTCGCCTCAAGGCGGTGTATAAAGATGTCACGGAGCTCGTTGGGATAGATCATGTAAGAGATGAGCTGATAAAGAAGTTGTGTGATAGTAATGAGAGGTCCAAGGAGCACTTAAGGACCATTTCTATTGTTGGATTTGGCGGGTTGGGCAAGACAACTCTCGCCAAAGCAGTGTATGACAAGATCAAAGTGGAGTTTGATAGTGTAGCTTTTGTTTCTGTGTCTCGGAATCCTGACATGACCAACATTTTCAAGAAGCTCTTATATGAACTTGACAAGGGCAAGTATGCAACCATCAACGAAGCTACTAGGGACGAGGGACAACTCCTCGATGAATTGAGGATATTTCTTCAAGATAGGAGGTACATACGTAGCAGCAAAACATTTTCATTATTATTTCCAGGAAACCATGAATGCTAGTTAGTGAATAGCGTGTCCCGAGTCAGTTTTATTTTGGTTTTATTAAATGGACACTGTTACTAGGCCTTGCGTTCATGTTTTATATGAATCTTCCAAATTATGCACAATATATGCTTCTAAACGATTAAACGACTAATGTTTAAAAAAGTATAGGTATCTCATTGTAATTGATGACATATGTGATGAAGAAGCATGGGAATTTATCAAGTGTGCTTTCTCCGACAACTGTCTCGGTAGTCGAGTAATGACTACCACACGCATAGGCAGCATCTCTAAAGCATGTTGCTCTTCTGGTGATGATATAATATATCAGATGAAACCTCTTACTGATGATGACTCCAAAAGACTCTTCTACAAAAGAATATTTCTTCAAGGAAGTAAATGTCCAGATGAATTGGAGCAGGTATGTAGAGAAATTTTAAAGAAATGTGGTGGAGTACCACTAGCCATCATTACAATTGCTAGTATTTTAGCTACTAATCGTCAAGACCAACACATAAAGCCAAAGTATCAATGGGAGAACATACTTGTCTCTATTGGTCGTGGACTTACCGAAGGGGGTAGTACGAAGGACATGCAAAGAATATTGTCCTTTAGTTATTACGATTTACCTTCTCATTTGAAGACTTGTTTATTATATCTCAGTATATTTCCAGAGGATTCTGAGATAAGGAGAGACCGGTTGATATGGATGTGGATAGCCGAAGGGTTTGTGCAAGGTGGAAAACAAGAAACTACACTATTTGAGCTCGGAGAGAGTTACTTCAATGAGCTCGCAAATAGAAATTTGATTCAACCGATATATCTTGATGTTGAAGGCAGGACGGGAGCTTGTCGTGTGCATGATATGGTTCTCGACCTCTTATGTTTCCTGTCCAGCGAAGAAAACTTTGTTACTATAATAGATGGTACTCAGCAAAGCAAACCTATTTCACATTGCAAGATTCACAGATTATCTTTCCAAAACAGCATGTCAGATCTCACCACCCATCGGGTCAATGCCACAAATATGTCACAAGTGAGGTCTGTTATTCTCCTTAGAACTTATATTGATCTGATCCAGACTATTTCACACTTTCAAGTTTTACGTGTATTGGATTTGGAAGGTTGTAATCTTGGGAAAAATCTCCACCATACTGATCTCAGGTATATCGAGAATTTATTGCACCTAAGGTATCTGGGGCTAAGAAGAACTTTTGTTTCTGAGCTCCCTGTGGAAATAGGAAAGCTAAAATTTTTGCAGACACTCGACTTGGTAGAAAGTGGACCAGAGCCAGGATCAAGTATAGTGATTCCACCAAGTGTTGTCCGTCTAAGACATTTGATTTGCCTACATGCATCCAATGAGGTGTTACCCGTTGGGATCGGGGACATGGCGTCCTTAGAAGAGCTGACTGGAGTATTGATGGATGGTCCTTCTGTGATTAATAAAGAGCTAGGGAAATTGATCAAGCTGAGAGTGCTCGACCTTATTTGGAATGGGCACGATGAGAGCGTGTGTAATTCTTTGGTAGTGTCCCTGGGGAATCTGCGGAAAATGCAAAGTCTAACTATTTACAGCCACGGCAGTGCAAGGTTTGATGTGAGCTGGGATGACTTTGTGCCCACTCCAGAACTTCGTGCCATTGAGTTTCATCGATGCACCACCACATTGCCTAGGTGGGTCAATTTGTCATCATTTCCCCTACTCTCGTCCATGAATATTACAGTGAACATGGTGCGGCCAGAAGTCGACTTTCAGATCCTCGGGAAGCTTCCCGCTCTTCGTTCTCTCATGCTAGGGGTCAACAAAGTTCAGCATACTCGTGTCGAAATGTTCGTCGTTGGCGCCAATGCATTCCCATGTTTGAGAGTGTGCAAGTTCTTCCGTTTTCTCACGGGACCATCTATGTTTCCACGAGGAGCTATGCCAAGGCTCGTAATCCTGCGGTTCTCAGCCCGAGCGTTGGATATAGCTAGTGGTGACCAGGATGTCAGCATGGGGCACCTCCCTTCCCTCCAGCAAGTCACGGTTTACCTTTGGGTTGAGAAAGGCAGCTCTTCAGATAAGTGTAAGAAGGAAGCGGATGTTGTGCTGAGGCATGCAGCGGACACCCACCCCAACCGTCCCAACCTTGAGACCTAGTATCAATCAAGTAAGTCCTTTCTCCCAGGTTTCTTCTGTATATTTTGGCTTAATTCTATTTCTACAAAGAGTACACACACACGCTCATTCCTTTTTTTTCTTTTTTTCTTTTTGGTTTCTCAGGTCTCTAATTACGATGACAAATTGACGGTCTCAAGCCGGTCAAGCTCCATTTGTTGCTTGACTTGTTCAGCAACTGGGTGTCGATGTCACGGGGCAAGCTGGCTTACTTCCCCTCCAGACCCCTAGGGATCCTTGGGCTCTTGGCTGCCACCTCCTGCGAGATCCAGTCCACCATTCATACCTATCGATATCGTGAGTCCTTTTTCTCTGGATTCTTCTCTAGATTTTGGTTTAATTCTATTTCTCCAAACAATACACATGCTCATTCTTTTTTTCTTAGCTAGATTATTAACCTCAATGACGACGACGACGATCCCGTGCCGGATCCTGTGCTTGACTTGTCTTGCAACCGGGGATGACGTTCTGGAACTGTTCTGAGTTTATTCCGCCCCTTCATGATGGACCAGTGTAAGTGATAGTTTTGCACTGAATTCTGAATTCCTCTTCCTCCCGAAGAGTCTTATCTAAACTTGCTCGAAATTCTCCACGCCCCGGTCCCGCAATCCCGCAGAACGAGACAAGGCGCAAGGTGCAAGAACGAGACGGAGACTACAACGCCGCCACCGCCACGATGCCGGCGTCTCCTTCTTTCCGGGCAAGCTGGCTTACATCCCCTCTCCCCCGCCACCGCCACGATGCCGGCGTTTCCTTCTTTCCGGGCAAGCTGGCTTACATCCCCTCTCCCCCCTCCCGCGAGATTAAGGCCTCCGTCCGCGTCGTCTTCCCTTGCGAGCTTGCCAAGCACGCCATCTCCGGGGGCACCTATTTTCAGTCTCTTCTTGTCTTCTCGGAGAGTCCCTGTCTCCTGCTTTCTCGTGGTTCGCTCTAGTTACATATTGGACCGTGTCATGTTCGGAACGGCACTGTTATTTCAGTCTGAAGATATAATAATGTTTTTTATTATTGCCTGTATGAATCTAGACCCGGAGAAATGTTATTTCTTACTATGATCCTGTTTTATTTTTGTCCTAATTTAGGAAGGTCTTCTTAGTTCGGTCTATTACAATGCAATCTTCTGTCTTGTGTGTTCGAGTATGGCGTTCGGCAAATCTCTTCATTTAATATATTTTTTCTAAAAAAAGATCTCTTCATTTAATGCTTTTGAACTTGCACATATGTTGGTCTGCTTCTGAATTTGTTGAGTTGGGTTCTTAGTTACACTTGTAGTTTGGCACCGTTGGATTCCCCCTTCTGTTGTTCCATTCCAATGCTCTACGTGCAGCAGACGGCGAATTGAAATTCAGAGAATTGCTTTTACTCCCTGAACTAGTTAGTGCCTTGCAAATGTAGTTGCGATTTTGCTGGACAACGACGTCGTCCAGCAGCAGCAGCAGGATAATTCAGAAACATTGATTTCATCATTCATTATTTTATTATTAATAATTCAGTACAGACAGTAGAGCCTAGATGAGCGGCGTCCATGTGTTTGTGTTGCACCTGATTGACACTCTGTTAGTGCTTGTGCATGCATCCGCTGGTGCTTGGTGGTCCGTCCATGAGTTTGGCCCATCTTTTGAACGCAGTACTTATCCTGCGCCTGTTGCATTTGCTACACTGAGCCTGAAGCCATGCCGTTGTGTTAATGCGTGATTCAAACCTAGAGAGCAAAGACAGTTAGGATGTTCTTCGGTTTGAAAAGACTTTGTTAACACATCATTGCAGCAAAACGGTTCAAACACCTCAACAGACTGGGGCCTAATGGAGCACACAGAGACGGAAATCAATACTGGGGCCTATAGATTTTGCTATAAATGGTTGGTGCATCATGTAATATTCAACACTATAGTAATACATTGTACCAGAAAAAGGAGATATATGACCGCAACTTGGGTCCATTAACTTGGGTCCACCGACAGTCTTCCTGTACAAGCAAAATTGAAGTGATTCCGACTGATCAGCGGACTTGAGTAACCATTTCACCGGCACACCAAGCGTCCAGGACGAAGAGCGGCCGAGCGGGCACTTTGCTGTAGAGTTTTGCCTGAATTCCATTTCTTGTAATCTCCTTATGTCTCCTATCAACACAAAATGACGGCACATCGACATTAATCGATCATGTACACAATATGCTAATAATTTTGGGCTGTACAGAATAGACTGCAAAGATTTGGCAAAGAAACCTTCCCTTTTGCCATTATCTTTTTACTGAGGGTTGATAAATAGTTTGGCACCTCAGCTCTTTCAGCGTTTTTTTTTTGAACAGTGAAATATTTTTAGATGATCTTGTCTGATCGATTTGCTACTAATAAGCTCGGGCCGTACAGAATACTCCAAGATTTGGCAAGCAACGTCCCCTTCTCCCATTCTCTTTTATAAAAGTTGATAAACAGTTTTGGCACCTCAGCTGTTTCTGCTTTTGTTTTAACAGTGAAATATTTTGAGATGATCTTGTCCAACAGAACCAAGTTGCGGAAACATAGGCAGAAATCCATCAACGTAAGAAACTCATCTGCACAAACATCATTCGTTTGAACCAACTTGCTGAAAGATATATAAGCAGAAACCCATCAGGCAAAAACTCATCAACAGATAAAATTGACTACTAAGAGCAAGTACTAGCTGGTGACAAGCAAAAGTTGACAAACATCAAATTCCTTCGCACTGAATAATACTACTATTACTGACAAATCAAATCAAATTAAAAAGAAGGTCCATCACTACTGCCAAATTTGCTAACATTAATTTACTTCCTACTAGTTTTCAGTCTTCGTAACAAGGAGTATAACAGAGTGTGACACCAGGGCAACAAGCTGTGCTCGGATGAGCTTCAGCAATCAATACATCACAAGCACACTGAATAAAATAGCCGCAAGAATTCAGATTAATGGTACTTTCTTGATAGAGAAATAGTAATGAAAGTCCAATGGTTGGATCAGACGCTACATTGTGATTTGTCACAAAATACTACACGGCGTTCCATGTACTAGCTACAGTTTTGAACTAACACGGAAATTTCATCCTGTAAGGCAACAGGCATCCTCAGTTTTTCTGCTAGTAGTCAAAGATCAATCCATGTTGACACATTGTAAGCGTTCGATAATATATTCCAAACTTACAATATGAGAAGGCAAATATGGTTGCAGGCCATTGTGGTGTCATGGCAACGTGTGTGGCGAAAACGATATGAACATTTGTAAAGCAGAAGCATACAGCTGGAGTCTTCTCGTTAAACACATGCAAGCTTTAGCCCTTATTACAAGCTACATATGTAGACATGAGTTCAGTCAAGGATTCCCAAAAGTAAACTGAAGAGGCAGAAGCACAGGTCATCTCCTAATACACTGTTTCCTTATTTGAAAAATACAAGACAGACAGAAATCTCATGCATTTGATTGCGCAAAATATAGGTCTATATAGCTGCCGCTTCAACTGGAAATAATATGATGATTGAAGAATAACCGAATAATTTTTCGATAAAGGGCGCTTTTATTATCTTAAAAAGTAGCATCAAAAGGATACAAAGCATTATGAGTAACACCGGCCTCTGTATAACTACACACAGTCAATCACCTAATGTCTGATAAAAAGAAAGAAAAAAAAACGACTAATGGGCGACAGTAGAGTCATATAGTCCGACACTATGCCTATGTCGAAAGGGGTGGTGGACCGATCCAAAGATTATGCTGCCACCCATGTTGGGTAAAACCTCCGTAGTCACCTGCTCCAACCGCGTACACACCGCCTTGAACAATAGTTGATACTCCACTCGTTGTAGCGTAGACCACGTATGAACAAAAGACCTGCAAATGAGAAGCATTTTTGTTATTGAAAACCAAATCATTTCTAAAAAGCCAAAGCGACCATAGTAAGGCATACGCTCCCACCGTTATTAGCGTTTTCAACCTATTTGAAATACCATCCAACCAATGACCAAAAATATTGGCGACACTTGTGGACGGATACAAATTTGATGCTATTTGGATGACTGACCACGTAAAACGTGCAAACTTGCATTGGAAAAAGAGGTGTTTGATTGTCTCTTCATGAGTGCAAAAATAACACTTCTTACTCTCTGGCCAATTGCGCCGTGCGAGGTTGTCTTCGGTTAGAACAACTCCCCTACGAAGATACCACATGAAGATTTTAACTTTAAATGAAGAACAACTGAATAATAGCCAGAGTACATAAGAAATTTCGACTCGGCGGTGGCAAAAAGGCTTCATCCTATGTGCTGACCGAGGAATAGAAACTCCATGGACAACTCCACTAGATCCCCAGTCACGTGTTCCCGGCCACCAGCATCGTTTCCTGGGAGACCTCAGCTCTGGTTATTCCTCTATGGACAACTCTGCACCCACCAAACAACGCATTAGATAGCTCCCGTACAATGAGATAAGTTGTATCTTTCGATGTCTAGTTTATCTCTACCGTTTCTGAAATTTGTCAGGAATATCATAGTCGTGATAAATAATCATTTTAAATTCTATAACAATTCATTCAACAGCCACACTATGAGTTGAATAACTTAATCTGCATCACCCATACTTTTATAGCATTTCGTACAAAAATTTGCGATGTTTTATACAACTGTTTACAGTCCACAAGCATTTACGGCATCTTAATTCAGAAATTTACTATATATCTACCACTCTAGTCAAAACTACAAAATAATAGACACAACTATTCACTTAAACTGGATGCAATGCCTTGAGAGGATTTGGTGCCATACCAATTTCCGGCGCAAAACCTATTATGGAACTGTCAGTTCACAGCTGATGTGCCATACCAATACCAACTATTCATGGCTGAGGAGGCATTTATGAAACTGTCAGTTCATGCAGCTCAGGGCACTTCCTCCAGGGATAGTATCAGATTATAGGGCATGGTTGGTAAGAGATAATTGTTGATCTTAGTTTATTCAGACAGTTCCACTAATT